AGCTTCTGAAGCTGTGTCCTTAAGGGGTTAAACTTTCAAGATTCTTTTCCTTCAGGAATTGTACCGGAGGATTGGAGGAAGGCATTTGTTTTTCCTATATTCAGAAAGGGTTCAAAATGTTTGCCTGGAAATTATAGACCTGTGAGCTTCATTTTTGTGGCTGGGAAAGTATTTGAAGGGTTATTAAGAGATAATATTCAGGAATATATAGGGAATAATATTGTTATTAGCAATAATCAGCATGGTTTAATGAAACATGGTTTTATGTCAAACTAACGTTATTTACTCTACGAAGTAGTAGAAGTATAGATCAGGATGTTGCAGTTGATGTGATCTACTTGGATTTTGGCAGGGCGTTTGATACGGTTCCTCACAATAGGTTAGTGTTTAAACTAAAAGAAATTGGTCTAGATCAGGGTTCTCCAAACTTTGCCCCCCGCCCCCAGATGTTGCTGAACTGCAACTCCCATAATTCTCAGCAACATCTGGATGGTCAGAGTTTGGAGAACCCTAGTCTAGATGAAAATTCTTGTTCTTGGGTAGAATATTGGCTTAAAGATAGAGTACAAGGAGTTGTCATTAATGGTACATTTTCAAGATGGACAAAAGTAGTTAGTGATGTCACTCAGGGTTCTGTTCTGGGACCGCTTCTAAACTAACATATTTAAAAAATGATCTTGAAATAAGCTTTGAAAGCCATGTTTCGGTGTTTGCAGAAGAACTGCAAAACTCTGTAGAATAATACAATGTGAGCAGGATATTGATTTTCTGCAGAGGGATTTAGATAGATTGGAGGTTTAGGTACTCAAATGGCTGTTGAAATTGAATTGAGATAAATCCAGAGTTTTGCACTTTGGGGTAAAGAATGCACAAGCAAGTTGCACCCTAAATAGTAGTGGATTAAGAATAACAACACACGAGAAGGATTTGAGAATTGTTATAGACAATAAACTAGATAGCAATGTCAATCAGTAGTTGCAAAGGCCAGCAAGGTATTGTCATCTATAAACAGGGACATTAATTCTTGGGATGAAAATATATATTTTGCCTCTTTATAAATCACTGGTAGGACCACACCTTGAATATGTTGTGCAATTTTGGGCGACTGTTCATAATATGGATTTTATAGCACTAGAAAAAGGGCTGAGGTGGGTTACAAAATTGATGAAAGGAATGGAACATTTCAGTTATGAAGAAAGGTTAACAAAATTAAATCTCTTTAGTTCAGAGGGGATACAAATATACAAACCATTGTCTGGAAATCTATTCATAAATAGGGCAATGCACAATACACTAGGTCAATCATTTAGACTGGAAGAAAGAAGGTTTAGCCTAAGGCAGGGGAAATGTTAGTCTAAGGTGGAATTATCTGCCAGAAGAGCTGGTTTTATCAGAGTCTGTACAGATGTTTAAATAACAATTGGATAAATCTTTAAAAACTATATTACAGGGATATAATTTTTAATTTTGAGGTAATATCTGTTTGATCCAAGGAGTTATCTGACTGACATTCTGGAGTCAAGAAGGATTTTTTTTTTACTAGTTTGTTGCAAAATTGGAAGTGCTTCAAACTGTTTTTTTTCTCACAGCAAAAACAGATGCGAGAAAGGCTGAACTTAATGGACATGTCTCTTTTCCGCTATGTATCTAAGTAATAGTCATTCCATCGCAATCTCAGTCGAGTGGCTATGTTAGAACTTTGAACTGAATAAAGGGCATGAATAGAAGTCATAACAAATATATATATGGGAGGGAAAGACTCACCAGAGGGTGGGAGAGGGTTGAAAAAAGTTTAACCCCTTAAGGACCAAACTTCTGGAATAAAAGGGAATCATGACATGTCGCACATGTCATGTGTCCTTAAGGGGTTAAACAGCTAATTTATTAATTTATAAAGCGGGGCCTGCCTAGTCACGTGATGCGCATACGTAGCATTACGTCACGTAACTCCTTCAGTAGTGAAGGCTGTGAGGAGGTGAGCAGGCTCAACAGTGAGTCAAAACCTTTATGTTGAGTCGACTGAAATCGTGCGTCACCTAGTGAACCACAGTAGCCATATGTATTAGCTAATGGGTAGGACAGCCCTAATGAAATGTAAAGGGTAGAAAATCCAGCGCACTCACCTATCCACTAAACAGCAATTTTAATGCTGACAGATTGTATTAGGTTTTTTTTAAAAACACCTAATCTAGGCAAAGAATAATGGGGGTTTAGTTACATTATATAATCATACATTGCATAAGCCTGCCACAACGTCAATGTATCCCATCTTTGGCAGGTCCTACTCTCACAGCCTAATGTCTACTCTTATGAGATTAACCCACTTACTTGGGGGGGGAGTGGGGCATTCCATCTGAGGCTCTCAGCAGTACAAGGCTAAATAGGGCCCTGGGATGAGTCACCTGTGACAGGGTGGGGTGCAAAACCAAGGAGTTGGCTAGACCCCCAAATATATATATGAAACCAGGGGGCTGCACTCATGTGAACATGCATAAATGGTGTGTGCTGGGGGCCAATTTAACTGAAACTAACTAAAAAAACATATAAAATCTCTCAACATTGAAGTTGCTGTTTAGTGGATAGGTAAGTGCGCTTGGTTTCGAGTTTTTGTGTATTGTATAAATTGGCCCCCAGCAGCACCCCATTTATTCATGTTCATGTGAGTGCAGTCCCCTGGTTTCATATATAGATTGGCATATATAAGACATCACTTTTATTGCCTCCCTCGCTATTATTAAAGTCAGGATAGTAGAGAGAATTATTTTTTATTTGAGGGTATTCATTAATGGAGTGTGCACAATGGCATGTATAGCTCTCCAGAATATTTAATAAAAGCCCCTACCTGCTGATGGCACAGGCTCTGCATTATATTTTAATTTGAGCCCTCCATAGGGACAGGGGACACTGTATCTCACCTGCTATATTTATTTAATTAATAATCCATAGGGGAAGGGGGGTGGACAGTGATCCAACTGAATACCCCACATGATGCCCATGCCCATGGCTAGTCGTTGTTTAGCAGACATTCCCTTCACTAGCAGCATGTGCTAATACTGGGGTCAGATTGACCCCAACAGGCTTTTTAAAAATGTTATTAATTTTTTTTATTGCAAGCCACCACATGATTAATCCTCTTTCTGCAGAGTTGTCCTGTTCAGTTGATTTTTGGTTTTCTGAAACATTGTGGCCGAAGCACACACATCCACAAAACATCAGAGATGCAAAAGTACATTTTTCATTCAGAAATTAAAAAACAAATCATTTTGCATATTGGTGGAGCAGACTAATGAGTCCCACAGGAGTTTCATTTCTTTGTGTTCCACAATTTCATTTACCATTGTACACAATTCTCAGGATAAATTCATGCTTTTTAACTCTTTGGCAACTGTTGGCATGTAAACAGTCCATGGTGTTGGCAACACACACGTCACAGACTTTCAATGCATGACATCATAATGATGCTTTGACTTTATAGATAGCAGGACTGGGAAAGCAAAGCCATTCGCATCTTGGTGGAGCTGATTAAGAATCCCCACTTGAGTAAGGTCCTAAAATATACTGTTGATCACAATAAGAGACAATAAGTGGATACAGACAATAACTGAAGGGGAATAGGTATACAGGAAATAGTGCTGTTATCCGTGGGATATTACTGCATGTTATAAATGGGGTGTAATGGGGAATTGCATTGTTTGAAATAGATTTGATATGTTTTCAGAGCAATCTATCATTCTATACTCATAGGACACTATAGTCACCCGAACAACTTTAGCTTAATGAAGCAGTTTTGGTGTATAGAACACGACCCGGGAACAACAACAAAGCGAGGAGACCCCACTAACCTCGGTGCAAGACCCCTCTGATGACTCTGCCCCGACAACCAAACGGGACCTAAAAATATTATTAGCAGACATCCACAAACTGTTGCGCCTGATTCGCCCTCTTAAAAACGGAGGTACACGCGGTCACAGAAAGGGTGAGAGCCACAGAGGAAGACGTGATGGCAGTGCAGAGCCAACTAGCTAAACTTGATGAATCAATAATCCAAATGCAAACCACTCAGCAAACCCTCACACACAAATTAGCAGCGTTGGAAGACCGCCAAAGACGCACCCATATTAAAATAAGGGGAATCCCAGCTACAATCACGGCAGAGGAACTCCCACATTATATCCGCAGATTCTTACTTACAATCCTGCCTCACACAGCGGCAAAAAAAAATCACCATAGATGGAGTCTACCGTCTTGCCAGCACCACCCCGCTCAAACCTGCCCAGCCCCGGGATGTGATCCTCAGATGCCTTACAACCCAAGATAAGAGCCAAATCATGTCGGCCCTAAGTGGTAAAACGCCACTAATGTTTGAAAACACCTCTCTCACATTCTACCATGACCTCACAAAGGCAACACTTCTGCAACGCAAAACTTTCGGCACTGTCACTGCACAACTCCGAGCAGCAAACCTGGCCTACAAGTGGGCTGCAAACTGTACAATCATACTCACCCGAGATGGGACTACTCATACACTAACAACAATGAGTGAGGCACCAACATTCCTACGTAACCTGGGGATCTCTACTCCAAACCCTGAGACCACTGGAACTGCAACAACAGAACTTTGGGATCCAGCCACGGTTGTCCCCTTCGTCCCAAGGGAATCCAGACTGCAGAATGCGGCCACAAGACTCTCGGGACAGAGACACATTTCAGCCCGAAAGATGGATCAACAAGAGAGTCGTCAGGAACTGGCAAACTAACTAAGAACTCGCTAACCTCTGGGGCGAACTCCGCATTTAACTTAATTTACCTTTTTAGGCTAAACAGACAAAAGATATTTGCATTTTTCTATCTTGTTAAACTTCTTACATAATTTGTTTATGATTTGTCGCTCTTAAAGTTTATGTTAACAGTTATATTACACAATAAGCTAGCGCAGCTACTCACACTTCCACTGCAACCAGCTGGCGTCCTCCAGCCCAACACTCCCACCCCGTGGCCCTCTTGGTTAGGGGCACCCACCCCAGATGTCAGGGGCCTACTCACAAAGCGGCCTCGGAACAAGCTTTGGTACAACTCTATCACCCATAAACCACACTCAGACACACAACACGAGGCACCTGTACATCTCGCCCATAAGCTCTACGGATTCACGACCACATCACAAAAACATGTCGACTAACAACTAGCCACACTAGGAACTTAACCTGTCACTAGAGAGACATGTATACGTCGACACAAATAGGACAGATCAGGTCTACAAACTATACAAAGAGAGATAAACATGTCATGTAAAACCTCTGATCTGTCCAATGTTTAACCATGTTAACCATGTTATATACTACCAAAAATGGTGCGTTACATAGGACAAATATTTCTTGCTTATACTTTACCTACCTATACTGTAACCCTGTCATATGTTACCAACGTGAATTTCCACGCACCTCAAAAATAAAGAATTAAAAAAAAAAAAATTACATCTGTTTGAAAGTGAAACCAGTATTTTTTTCATGCAGGCTCTGTCAATCATAGCCAGGGGAGGTGTGGCTAGGGCTGCATAAACAGAAACAAAGTGATTTAACTCCTAAATGACAGTGAATTGAGCAGTGAAATTGCAGAGGAATGATCTATACACTAAAACTGCTTTATTTAGCTAAAGTAATTTAGGTGACTATAGTGTTCCTTTAAGTTCCTTTAACCTTTCCTGGTAAGTTTTATCCTGCAATCCATGAACCAGTTTAGTAGCCCTTCTCTGAACCCTCTCTAAGGTATCAATATCCTTCTGAAGATACGGTCTCCAGTACTGTGTACAATACTCCAAGTGAGGTTTCACCAGTGTTCTGTACAATGGCACGAGCACTTCCCTCTTTCTACTGCTAACACCTCTCCCTATACAACCAAGCATTCTGCTAGCATCTCCAGCTGCTCTATTACATTGTCTTCCTACCTTTAAGTCATCTGAAATAATTACTCCTAAATCCCTTTCTTCAGATGTTGAGGTTAGTAGGGTATCAAATATCCTATACTCTGCCCTTGGATTTTTACGTCCAAGGTGCATTATCTTGCACTTATCCACATTAAATGTCAGTTGCCACAGCTCTGACCATTTTTAAAATTTTTCAAAATCATTTGCCATTTGGCAAATAAGATTAGTTTATGCAAATGAAACAAAGGCTTTTCAGCCGAAACGTTGGGGTTTTTTTGATTGACTCTGTCCCTACTTCTCACTGAATTTGGTATGGTTTGCTGCATTTTTTTATATGTCTGGGTTTTCATTATACTAGTATTATAGTGGACTGTTTGCATGATATTTCTTTCATTCATTTATTACGCATTGAGCGTTTATATTTGCCTATATCATTGCTTTTCTGGTAAATGCTTTTGAATAGCATGACTTTGTACCTCTGTGGATAATAGTTAAAGAGACAGTCCTATAGTATATACCCATTTAATAAAGATTTTTTCATATATATAAAGATTTATGGTTGTGCTCCTTACTCTATTCACACAAATAAGATTAGTTTGGCATGATCTCCCTGAAGTAAACCCATGTTGTCTCTGATCTTGAAATCCATGTGATTTTAGATGTTCAACAATCCTATCCTTTAACATGGTTTCCATTACTTTCCCCACTACTGAAGTAAGGCTTACTGGCCTATAGTTGCCAGACTCCTCCCTACTACCTTTCTTGTGAATGGGCAAAACATTTGCTAACTTCCAAATCTTCTGGGACTACTCCTGTTAACAATGATTGGTTAAATAAATCTGTTAGTGCTTTTGCTAGTACACCACTAAGTTCTTTTAATAACTTTGGGTGTATCGCATCAGGCCCCATCAACTTATTTGTCTTTACTTTTGACAGTTAAAATAGAACCTCGGGGGGCGGAGCTTACCAGCCGAGCAAGCCGGACGCTCATGGTGGGAGCTCCCGCATCGGAAGCCTTGATTCAGGGCTTTACGCCCGACCACCGGATCGTGCCGGCAGCGGACAACCACCCTCGTATCCAGGAGGGAAGGCGGAATCCGGAGACACCCGATTCGGGGCTCTCCGCCGCGGGAAAGCCCTCATCACAACCCGCGGCCTGCACAGGTGGGAGCCGTGGAGAGACGGCCTCTCTCCCGGTTCTCAGGCTGAAGAGGGGACACTCACACACCACTTCCCCCCCCCCTTTGGACCGGTGGGGGATATCCCGGTCCCCACCAACACGAGAAACAACAAGTCAAGACAGCATAGCAGACGCCACTGAACTTCCAAGCAGAATGGAAGCAGGGGCACCCAAGATGGTGGAGGAGCTCAGCCTCACTTCACGTGGCCTGCTGCAGCCACAACACAGCAAAGACAAGCAAACAGCAAAAAGGAGAAAGATGGCGAACCATGGTACAAGCAGCACCCTTGCCACTCCACCCAAACACACCCAGGAGTTCTTTGACCGACTCTGCTCCAATTTATGGTCACAACTCCGGCATAAGGTTCGGCCCTTTAAAGAAGCAGTCCAATCAATAGCATTATGGGTCCGACCAGCTACCAGGCGGCAACTTTGTAAGTACCCACAGCGAGCCCCCAGGGTGGCCTCCAGAAGGGGACGAAGGCAGAGAGCAAAGCAACGAGTGGCGATGGATTGCCCCTCAGGCGCCAGCACTCTTCCTCTCAAGCGACCACAAGCGGCGGAGGAGGCCCCCGAACAAACGCCTGCACAGCCCCAGCAAAGCCTCACATCACACAGACAAGATGGTAACCAAGCTCTGGCGACGGCTCACAACCGGAATTGTACAGCCGCTGCACAGGAGATAACCCCTACACAGAAAGCCTCGGACGGCTCACAGACCTTTACTGAAAGCCTGCCGACCTCTGGTATCGGGTAAATGGGGACACTAGCAACAAAATGGCAGTCTGATATGCCACTGTGCATGGTCAAATGAATAACTAGCACCCCTAGTACGGTTCATGCCAACCTACCAAATATTGCGTACACAGGAACACCCAAATTGACTTTGTAGTCACTGTTACTGAACCTTGTTTATTGCATATTTTAAATGTGTACAATTGAAAAAGTTTGCATTGTGATGCGTTAGGCGCTATAAGTTCTCTATCCTTCTGCTTATTCTAACTGAAATGTCTGAGCTTACAGGTATGTCTGTCGCTCTGCTGCTCCCTGGTGGATAAACTTAATTAAGCTTATAAAAATCTGTTATTAACAACGACCTTAACACGTGTCTTAACGACAAAAAGCAGCTCACTATTTTGTTTTTCACAACGTTTGCCCAGCATGAATGCCGACTTAGATATGTTGAGCGACAGTTATCTTGATGCATTTTACTTAATCCCACGCTGACGACGCAACTGTTTAACCAAACTTGTTAAAATTTAAAAAAAATGTGCAGACTCTCATGCCACTGTTATACCAATGTATATTTTCCATTACGCTGTTGTGGCGTCTGTTGATTCCTTGTACCTACCTGCACAGCAAAAATAAAGAATTTAAAAAAAATAAAAAAATAAATAGAACCTCTTCCTCTGTAAACTCTCATGTAACAAATGGCTCATTTGTCCTTTTTCCTAACTGAGGCCCCTTTCCTTCATTTTCATCTGTAAATACTGAACAAAAATATTCATTGAGGCAATCAGCTAGACCTTTATCCTCTTCTACATACATTCCTTCTTTTGTTTTTAATCTAACTAATCCTTGTTTTACTTTCCTTTTCTCATTTATGTATCTAAAAAATGTTTTATCCCCCTTTTTTACTGACTGTGCTATTTTCTCTTCTGTGTGTGCAATTTTTTGCATTTACTGACAAGCCTAATGCAATTTTCTGTTGCCTTCAACAGTGCAACTTTGAAATAATCCCATTTCTCCAGGACTCCATTTAAACTGCTCCAGTCTGACAAGGACTCCTTTACGCATATTCTAATTTTAGAAAAGTCAGTTTTTGTAAAGTCTAAAACTTTTGTTTTTGTGTGGTGTTCTTATATTAAACCACACTGACTGGTGATCGCTGGATCCTAAACTTTCACCTACAGTAATATCTGATACCAAATCTCCATTTGTAAACACTAAATCTAGTTTGGCATCCTTACAAGCTGGTTCCTCAACGAGTTGTTTTAGAGGCAATCCCAGTATGGAGTTTAGAATATATGTGCTCCTGGCACAAGCAGCTATTTTGGATTTCCAGTTAACATCAGGAAGATTAAAGTCACCCATGATGATAACTTCCTCCTTCATTGTCATTTTAGGTATTTCCGCAGCTAGTAGATTATCTAACTCTTCTATTTGTCCTGGGGGCCTGTAAATCACACCTACACGAGTTACTGTATGATTACCAAATTCTAACATAACCCAAACGGACTCTATGTTCGCCTCACTAACTTTTATTAGGCTAGATTTTATGCTATCCTTCACATACAGGACCACTCCTCCCTCTTTCTTGCCTTCTCTGTCTTTTCTATATAAAGAGTACCCTGGTATTGCTATGTCCCAATCATTTTCATGATGAGCTAAAACCAGCTTGAGTTCTGAGTAGGGACCCACCGAAGGGCAGGCTATTTCAGCTCCTGTCTGTTCTCAGAATACTCTTGCGACCCGTTTTTTGTTCTCCATAAGTTTAAAGGGTAATCCAGACGTGGAACCCTTGCTCACGGTGCCTAGAGAGATTTTAAGCTATGCCTCACTGATGATGCCTAACAAGGCTGAAGTGATTGTCTGGGGTTGCTGTATCTCTCGTGCAGTGAGAACTTGCTGGCATTTTGGATCTGGACTGCCCGTATGGGTGGGACTAGTCTGATATGCTTCAGATATGTTCTCTCTGTAATGGTGCAAGATGAGCTAAAACAAGCTTGAATTCTGAGCAGGGACTCACTGAAGGGCAGGCTATTTCAGCTGCTGTCCGTTCTGTGGGGATATTTATGGGATAATAATAGTAACAGTGAGAATTGCCCACTAATTCAATTCTCAGATCCCAAAGAACGTTTATCGTGTTAAGTGGAATGTATTTCATATAATAATATCACAATGTATAAAAATAGATTTTTATTTATAATAACAAATTAATAATAATATGTAACATGCATGATAATAATCAATGAATATCCAGTACAAAATTATATGCAATACAAAGAAATGGGTATTACGTTTCAATGGCTATTAACTCATTATCTGTCAAGACTTCTACGATTTATGAGGTATCCTTAACACAGGCTGAAAGTGAAACTTTTCACACAG